ATGGTATTGTTTGATCCGAACATAGGGCTAGTTTATATGTTTGCCATATCTTCGCTAGGTGTTTATGGAATTATTATAGCAGGTCGGGTCTAGTAATTAGGGTGGCGGCCGTTCAGTCGCCTATGATACTAGGGCCAATGGGTCAAAATTGATTTCTGCCGAAGGTGCTGAATGATCTACTCTACATAGGTGTGGGCTTATAGGGCTAGGGCTCATAAAGCCTTTCTTTCAATAAAAAATTGGGCAGACGGTCATCCAGTGAGACGTGGAAGTCATAAAAAAGGGTCTCTTTGCCCCTCAAATCAAGAGAAAGGTAGCTTGCCAAGCTCTCGGCCGTCCTATAGTTAGATTATAGCAGACTTATTACCGTCTGTTCTAGTTTGTCAATGCTATTGAGGACCCATAGGTTTGCCTACTACCAAGATAGGGTGTTTCAACCATGGTGGATCCCAGGTTCTCGGTCCAGCTCCTGCACCCAACTCTTGCTCCAAACAACTATGATCCATCCCCATCAATAGCCCTAACGACAAAAAAGAAAGAAAGAAAACAAGAAGATGGAAAGAAATTTGCAGCTTGATGGCTGCACAATTTTGCCATCTTTTAGCATGAGTTATTTATGAACTTTTGCACGTACTTGTTGGTCATTAATTAGTGAGGTGCATTTGCTTTAGAGTTGCAAGTAGATTTTTCTCATTAAGCAGGTAAGGTATATTTAAAGTTAATGAGATCATATGCATGGTACTTTAGAAACTTAGACACTTCTAAGTAACCTCTTTTGATAAATGTTGCTGTGAGAGATTTTTTTTTTTGAGAAAGTTTATTGTTGTATTGAGATGAGAGAAGTATACAAAGCTTGGCTACCCACAAGATGGGTAGGTGAAAAGACCCTAAGCAGGGCTCAAAAAGTAAAAAGTAAAAGAAAAACAAGGGAGCTGTGACAGAAATTAGTGTTAAAGGATTATATATTTCTACAAGGCTGATTTTAGGTTGGCATTTCGTACTTGTGGGTCGAAGGCTTGTGTGATAATAGGAAAGTAAATCACAAAGTTTTATCAATGGGAAAACTGTTGACCAATAAGATTTTTTCAATGTTGAATCTGTGCAGTTGCTGTTGTTTCTTCTTTGTTCTTATGTAGACCTTTCTTCTCCTGTGTGTTTTGCATCTTTTTTCTTTCTGCATCCAGGAGGGAGGGAGGGAAGCAATCATTATTTAATAGAAGGATTTACAGTGTGGTTCCCTTGCTTGGTATTGTTGCCTAATAGAGCTATAGAGTTGTTATTTAATAGCAGGATTTCCAGTGTGGTTCACTTGATAGCTTATATTTTATTTTTCTTTGAATTAATTTGTTTCATATTTCAAATTGGCATGTGATGCTGGTTGTTGAGCAGTGTATTCTTGTTGTATTCTCTTTAATTGTATCATTATTATACAGGGAAGCTGTGCAGTACAAGAACCCGTCTAATGCTGATTGTTGGAGACGTCCACCAGTGGAGGAGGTTCATTTTTGCATTAATCGACTTTCTGCCTTTCTCTCTTCCTATGGACCAATGTTGCTGTGTGTGTCCTTGTTTTCTTTTATTGAAGTTACTCATTGACTTTTACAATATGTTCTTGTAATCAGGACTTGTTGAAGTTAACCACTCACTTTTTCCAAGTACATTCAAGACAATGCCTTGATGAGGCTGAGTTAGCAGAACATGTTGTTGGTTTGACATGCAGCCTAGCCACTTGTCAGTTTCGGTGAGCCTTTCTCACTTAATCTATGTTATATTAATCAGCAATTAAGGAGCATGTGTCTCTAATAGAAAATAGGCTCTTATCTCTAGAGAGAATGTAGGGTGGGTGACCTCGAAAGAGAATGAGTTTATTGCATCATATGTACTGTGTTAATAACATGTGACTAAATTCACTTCACTTTGGCTGAGAGGCCGAAGCCTTCGGTTTTGCTTCTGTACCGAAGCGAAGAAACGAAGATATCTAGTGATTCGGCTTTATTCGATCGCTTTGGCTACACTCGGGTTAATTCCGTCAAAGAATGCAGATTCAGCCATAGCGGATTGGGGTAAACTTCCAACTCTGTAATGTTCAAGGGCATTAAAAAGTTTAAATTTGAATAAACTTGAATTGAATTTAAAATCAGTAGCTCTAAAACCGAAGGACATTAAAAATTGAAGTCAAAACCAAAGGCATTAAAAAAATTCCAAGGGCATTAAAACCAAAGTTCAAAGTATTATTCAAAAATTAAATTTAAAACAAAAGGCATTAAAAAATCCAAGGGCATTAAAGCGAAGTACAAAGTACTATAAAAAAATTGAATTTAAAACAAAAGAAATAAAAAAATTAATACACAAAGCACAAAGTACTTTTCCATTTTGATGCTCCAACTCAAAGGCCATTAAAAAATTGAATTTAAAATCGTACTAAAATAGTATATTTCAGCCATTTTATTTATTATTGAATTAATAGTAACAAATTTATTTATTATTAATTATTAACATTTTATTTTTAACATTTTATAAACTTAAGAATTATTTATTTATTTATTTATTTTAAAATAGCAAAGAAAAAACCAAAGTCTTCCCTTGAATCAGCTGAAGCATGGAATTGCTGCATTTCTAAGACTAAACCCAAAGCAGGTTCCGAAGTGAATCTAACAATATTTTGGTTAATAGTTTAATGATATATCATCATCATCAGAGCCTTTTCCCATCTATTTGGGGTTGGCTACATAAATTTCCATTCTGCTCTATCAAGGCCCATACCCTCAGTGAGGCCATTAGTCGCTATATCTTTTCTCACTACTTCCAACTATAATAATATAATGATATGTAATATTTATTATGTTTAGCATATTATGTATAATATTATTATAAATTAGGATATTTCTTAGAGTCAGTATTTATTTTGATGGTTTATGCTTTTAAAAATTGCTTACATTTAACTCCAGAATATTTAAATACTAAAAGGCTTTTTTTTGAATTTTAAAGCTATGCAACAAAATATGTTGCCTTTATTGCAAATATGGCGAAGTTCTATTTCCAACAAAAATCTGTCTTGGGTTTCTTAGATTACCATTGTTTTTCTTTTCTTTTTGTTGCAGTTACGGATTTTTATTTTTCTTTAAGAAGTCCTTTGTGTTTTTTCATACTTGTTTAAATTATTTGTGACAAGTTTTTAATTCATTATTGCAAAAATTTAAATATTTTAAACAAGCATACATTTTTTTTGTTCTCAATTTTTTTAAATGTGATGATTCTAAAAAAAAAAGATGGGGACCCCATTTTGTTCAAATCTCATGAGGCCTTTTAGGGAATGGACTGAGCCATTGTTTAGTTTGTTTCGCTGATGTAGCTTGAGAAGAATAAATTGTGTCTCCTTGGGAGTTTCTAAATACTCCTCTAAAGCCACTTGTTTAGATTCCCTAAATAGAAGCAGTTAATATTGAGATTGATGTTGCCCATAAAGTCAAAGGTTTGACCTAGAAATTTTTTTGGTCTTAATCGGATTTTTTTTGCTGTGTTGGAATGAAATATATCTCTAGAGATTCTATTTAGCCCATAGAAACAGCCCAAAAGATAGTCTAATATCTAATCTCTTACATGATCAGCAAAGTCTGCTCTTTTTTCATGAAATATTCTCGAGTTTCTTTTGGTCTATATGATGCAGAGTATGGATAGGGCTGAAGTTCTACAAAGGAAGAGTCTAGTTGCAGGGTAAGGGGGAGACTAAAAGGCAGATAAACGTTATTTGACCTGTGTTTGTGGTTACCGAATTCGATTTGAAGTCTATCAATTGCTTATTCCATAGGGTGGTTGCAAACTTGTACTGTAGGAATAGATGTTCATGGTTTTCTTCGGGTTTCTTGCATAGGATGCATTGGTTGGGAAGGCTGGAGACTTCACTTTTTAGTTTTTTTTTGTGCACACAAAAATATTTGTTGCTGATTTTTATTTTTAATTATAAGATTTCAAATATTATTATGTTTTGTTAACTAAAAAAGGAAATCAGCTCTATTTATTTGTTTAAATCTTAAAGATCTTATAACGTTAAAGACAAAGTGTTATTCTTTAATTATCGTTGATGATTAGTTTCCAATTTTTAATTAATGGTTTTCAAATGGTTTTAAGTTATGTCCATTATTTTTTCCTTACAGTATTTTAAAGTTTTTGTTTCTAATAATGACTGAGTATAAAATTAGTTTTTGGGAATGGGGCATTGGTGGTTAGTGGGGCAAGTGAATATAATGTTCTAGGCTCCATTCCCACGTTTAGCACTACCCCCCCCCCGAAAAAAAAAAAAAAGTATACAAATAGTTTTAAAAGCTTTTATATCTTGCACTTTTTTTGTTTGTTGAAGAAATTTAAATATAAATACTAAATTAAACTTTCCCACAAAGTTTTCATGCTTTAAAAAAAGGTTTATGGCCAATTTTCAAATTTCTTATAATGAACTCTCAAATGCTTCACAAAAATTATGTTGATGCTTCTGAAAAAATAGGTAATAGCAAGCCGTCTTTTCTGTGACCTTTCTCAATTATTTATAAAACTTTTCTGAAGATATATTTGCTTTAAAATTATTCGTATCGCGTTTTTAAAAATGCCAAATACTATTAATTTTTATTACTAATTTGAAATCAATAAAATAAATCAAATTATCTTTACAACACAAAATACCACTTTTAAAATTTGTATTTCTCGGTTCGTGGCAGTAGCACCCCCACACCCTAGTAATCATGTTGTGGTTTCCATTTCCATGGACTCCACCCCACTAACATCTTCAAAAAAACTAGCTCCTAAACTATTTGAAAAAAAGGGTAGGGCCTTGGCTTCCCCTCTTAAGTACCCCAAAAAAACAATTATCTTTAGTATCTTTTTTGTTTCAAAATTCTGAATTTTAGGGGTGTGGATATAGTAAATTAGTAATATATATATTCTAAGTTCTACCTAGCAATAATCAACTATATTGATAATATATTCTTGATCTCTTTTGATATTTATAAAATTTGTTATTCTTTGATCTCTTCTTAACATTTCTACCTGCACATATTAATTTCATCTATGTATGTACATTGTAATAAATTTTAGGGACATAGAAATGTTAATGAAATTTTAACATCCGCTTAACACTATGGAGTTTAAAGTATGTTATCGGTTCTTTTATTCTTTCAATATAATTTTAATTTTGTTTCTCATTATATTTCTACGTGCAACATACACAAATCTGGTAGTATACTTGTTATCTAAAACTCCACTTTAGATGCCTTTACATGTAGTATTCATGTATCATTGGGTTATTTTCCGATTAAACTGTTGAATGGAGGTTATTTAGTGACCTTACTTTTGAATCATGAAGAATCTTTTGCTCCTCATTCTTACTTGCTTGATAATATTATTTGCATCAATTTGTGCACTACTACCGACCATCACTAGTGCATCTAAATTGATAAATTACAGAATTGTCCTTTTAGTATCTAATGCATCATCTTTTTGCCAGTGCTTTCTACATTACGAAAACAGAAGATCTCTCTTATTTAAACTATTAAAATAGGCTTTTGGAAACAGCTAGAAGTAGTTTTGAGTTGCATAGACACCAAGGAATGAATGCGTATTGTAATTGCGTGGCAACTGTCTTATATGCAGTTTTAGGGCTTCATGTGCCTTAAGTTTCAGGGTGCGTGTTGGAAGTGCGGCCCTTAAAAGATTGGTGGCAATAAAGAATGTGCTGAAAGCGTTGTTCGCACCAAAAGCACTCTTATATTGATTTCTAGAAGTTGCAGTTCTGGTTTAAAGGAAATTATATGCTTTCCAGCAGTAATCATTGAATGTCCATGTATGACTATTCTGTTTGGCTCCTATATGGGCCTTATAGTGTCCATTTATTGAATTTTGAACTGCTAATCGCTTTGATTTCTTGTGCCATTGAATCACTTATTGAGTCATGATGTCAACATCCTGTGTTTCAGGAGGCGGCCCTAAATATTAGATTATTGAGGGAAACTACTTAAACTTCATGCTATGAGTTAGTATTTAATTGGTAATAATTTTTTTAAAAAATTAAAAATTACTACAGCAACCTAGGTGGATAGTGCCAGGTGAGGTGCTGAGGTTGGATCTCAATGACACCCTAAATCCACTTGGATGGAGATTACATCTCTTGAGACACCTACATTACTTGGTGCCTCTGCATTGGAACTTGCAATCATAAAAACATGATAAGAAATTTATTTGGAAGAAATAATGTCCTAAACCTCTGCAGATAACATTCCCAAATGTCAGGATGGAGTACACAGTAATAAACCTCCTTATCATGCTCATATTATTTAATTAAACCATGAGTAGGCCCTCTATCTCTAGAAGACCAATACCGAGGCCTACTCAGAGGGCCTTTGCCTCTGCATTGGAGGTCACATGAATCTGTATGTTAAGGGATTAAAATTAAAGTCCTCACATTAGAGTCCCACAGTTCCTTCCCATCATGGATTTTCCCTTGGAACTCCCATCAAAATTTAGCTTTACCTCACCACTTGTAGAAGATCCAATATCAGATGTGACTCACCAGAGCTACTATCCTCCAGGCTCTTAGGCAATCTACTACCCAATGTTCTAGAAGCTCAGCCCAATCTTCTAGAAGCTCAGATCTGGTCAAGCCCGACATTAACCTGATTATGAATATTATCACTCCATATAATTTCCCATACATTAACCCCTTCATATATACATGTACTGCAACTCTCGATATGCCCCAAGTGATTGTGCTAACACTTAGCCATCTACTCTTTCTTCTTTGTGTGTCTGGAATGTTCCCCTGGTTAAATGTTTGAAGTGCATGAAAAAGTTATGAAAAAGTGAAGAGTTCCATGCAAGCAAAGTACATTGAAAGTAAATTTCTCCCCACCATTGAAAACACCACTTCCTGTCCTACCTGCATGTATAACATGCCATCAGCAATTATCCTGGCATGGTTCCAAATGGAAAAATTTCAATAAATTTCATATTATACAGAAAGGACAAATATTTATTATCAAATTCACTTGATCCTATAGTACCCATTTTGCCAACGTCCAGTCCCATCAACAGAGTCTCTGTTTTTGGAGACATGTACCTCCCTACAAATCATGAATTAAGAATTCCGTGAAGGTCTTTTTTTTTCAATAAAAAAGAGAAAGGGAAAACTGTATATACTTTTCTTGTTTCTTATTTAATAACCTGTTGTGTTCTTATGGTTAATTTAGTCATTGTTATATTGTTTGGCAGTCTATACGGATGTGCTTGTTCTTGTTCCTTATGTATAAAGGGGAAACATCTTGTTTTACTTATAAACTAGTGCATGATTATTGGAATATTTATCAGTGGCGCTCCACTAATGAACAATTATGTCAACTTCATATACAAAATATTATGACAAATAGTGGTAATAGCTGCAAGTTTCTTAATTGTGCTCTCTCTTTTTCATTGCAGAAAAAAGTTGACACGGCTATCTATTAGTGCTAATGGATCCCATATTCCAAAAGATTTTATTGACAAGGCCCTAATTAGAAGCAATGTATGGTAAGACATCTTATCCTATTGATATGGTACTCTGTGTTTGAGTAACTGAAAATTCTATATTGTTAGCCATTTTTTGCATACTTACCCTTTCTTGCCCAATGAGACATGGTGGGTCATGACTTATCACTTATATTTGTGTATCTTAATTCTCAGAGTTTAATATGTATATTTGAAATTTGATTGGTTCTTGATATTGATTATATAATCTTATCTCAGACCAAAACACATATTCCTTAGACCACACAGAGAAACATTCTTATACATCCGAAGGTCTACATTACCAGAATGCCCTAAGAAACATTTAAAATTAAGTCAAACTATACTCTACTCAAACCTCACTAAAATGACTTGAGACATAGACCATCTCGTGTGGAATTGAATAAGCTTCCAACAGCCCAAGTTCCGTTCAATCCGATGTACCATTAGAAAGTTAAGGCTGTTTTTCTGATAAAATTTGGTAATTCCAAATGGGTACAAGGGTTCCAGCACACGATGTCCTAGACTAGCACAAGGCCTACCATATGTGATACACTACGTGTTGGGCCTTGATTGTTTTGTCAGTTTCTACAACATCATCTCGAGATATGTCAAATGCCTTTTGGAACCTTTCTATGTCTGTTGGTATGTGATTTAATCATGAAATCATGAAGATTTATCCAAAACATAGTTACCCGAATCTCTTACCCAAGGTTGCGATTCCGGTTCAAAAACCAAATTCAGCGATTTCGTCCAGGAATCTTCACATAACCCTTTTTCATGAAGTCAGGAATCTCGTTTCCTCAAGTTTAGGAATCTCGATTCCAACAGTTCAATATTCTCGTTTCTAATATATTTTGATTCTCGATTTTGCAAGTTTTGAATCTTAATTCTATGCTTTTTTGAATATGGATTCCACATGTGATGGAAGTCGATTAAGCTGTTATCAAATCCAGCTTACTGAACATCAAGCACCGCGGTTTGGAATTGTATTAGCACAAAATCAAATATTAAAAATTTAGGTGACTTAAGTTGCATCCTTTTGAATGGTTCAAATTATTATGGTCTTGGATTTGGGTTATTTGGAAAGAGGAGTATCTCCCATAGTTGGTATGTTATCTAGTGTGAACTATGAATTTCTTAACAAGAGAACTTGGGCCTTGAGACTATTTATCATAGTTGGCGTGTTATCTAGTGTGAAGTTCTTAGCAAGAGAACTTGGGCTGTGCAATGTTAAAATATTTGAATACCCTAGTTCTTCATCTCTGGCATGAGATGCATGACTCATTGTTTTCTAGAATTCTACTAATTTTTCCCTACCTTTACTTTTTTGTAAAGCACGAAGAATCGAGATACATGGCAGTTTAGATTAATTTCATCCATTGCATGAATTAAAAAGTAAAATTGATTATGTTTGTACATTTCATTTGTAATCGCTTGCGTGCATATTGCTTGAAATAGAAAATAAAAATGAATTAATTTTGGCACGATTCAATTTTTGTACATATTGCGTGCATTAAAAAATAACGCACATGGATAAAGAGTGAGAAATTTTGACATTATATAGTGGCTGAAGGTTATACATTGCTTGTAATAAAATAACAAACTGTAATACATGAATTTCATTTCACACTAACATTTTTGAGAGAAAGGAGGGCCCATGCGGAAGGGAAAGGGGTGGGTGAGGTGTTATAGTCTCTTCCTTTTTCTGCCTCTTTGGGATGCAGCCAGGGTCCTCTATGTGACTGCAGATATTGGAGGCAATCTTGGGGTGGTTGTAGGTGAGGGTTGGCTTGGTTGGTGCATAGGAGATGGAGGCACTTTAGGGGCAAGTCTCAGAGTCTGACTTGATCTGTGCTCGGTGGGGGTTTCAATTGCAAGATCATCGACGTCTCTTTGAGTACTTTGTACCTCTCTTGAAGTGCTTGGGGGAGTGACTGATCCCAAAGGTTGTAAGACGTTAGGCATACATTTGTTATCATCAACATTGAGGCATGCATCCAATGCTGCAAAGGCCATTAAGTCGTCCTCGAGGGGATCATCTTCAGTATGAGCGTCCCAATCCTTGTATTTGGCTTCATAGTCTACTTGTAATCTGCTCAATGGCCTGTCATTGTAATGAACATAGACCAATGCCTCTGAACAATTTGCATTAAGCCAATTATGTTTGACGCTATGTATGTAGCTGTATGTGCTCTAACATCTCTCCACAAAAGAAGAATTTACACTTTGTGACAATACCTTCACTACAAGTGCATGTAATTTAGGAGTATCTCCACCATACATGTCCCATCACGATACACTTGCCATAGTTCTCCGATCAGCTATAGAAGCTGGGAGTGAGAGGACCCCTCTATGGCTTAAAAATCACTTTTTTGTCGCACCTTGCCTTGCTACACATCATTTGTGATCAATACCTCAAGAGCAGAATGGAACATGAAGAAACTTTTGGATCCTGATGGGATTTCACCCTCCTTTCCCTACTAGGTGATGGCATAGCCAACCACTCTCGAGAATAGTACTTGGGACTGACAAGGAATGTCAAACAATGCAATGGAAAATTTGACCTGTACCAACGAGCCAAAACTAAAATTTTCACTCTTTGAAATAACACAGGATTGTCATGTAGAGCATTCTCCGAACATAATATCCATATGCTCGTATGCATCTCCAATAACGGCCCTGTCACTATCGACAAACTTTATCATCTTACATATTGGTCTTGTAAAACACAATATCAACTTATTGATCTTCTAGTACTCGTCGTCCATTATAGTATCACGGACCAAGCCGTGTTCGATATCTGTTGCTGCACGCTTAAGACCATCCCATTGATTGCTCAACATCAGAGACATCACGCCAAACCTCCCATCTATCAACCTCATCAACAAAACTTAGTCTTCTTAGCCTTAAGAAGTTCAAGGTTAGAATATGTGCGAAATATGTTATGTCACCTAGTATGGTTACTTATATACTGCACCACCGCTTTCTCTTACTTGCAATGCTCCTTAACAAAAGCAAAGATGGATTTTTCTTATTTTTATCAGCTATATCTTTCATGAGAAGACTTAAGGTGTGAGCCAGCATCCCGACTAAGAAATATAAAGTTGACGTCGTTGAATTATGGCGCCTGCACCTTTGCAATTGGCTGCATTGCCGGTGACAGCTTGGACTAGATTATACGGTCCAACATTCTTTATAGTGGGAGAGAATGAGTCAACCCAATAGGCAATTATGGGCTAGAGAGACAAAGGAACATTCATTCACATGAACTGCAATAGATTTCTTAGGGGGCCAAAAAATCTATATTGTCTTTAGAAAACTATGTGTAGATATGGTGGCACCATTGCCAAAACAAATTTGGATGTTAGGGAAAAAAAAAAAAAGGGAAAAAAATGAGGGAAGAGAAAACAAGTCATTCCAACGAGGTTGGGAAGGGGGAGAATCTACGAAAAATGATGGGTCAAGATATACCAAAAAAGAAGAAAAATCAAAATGATCACCTCAAGTATCTATTCCTCCATGTCCTCTAATAAAAACGTGTCGAGAGAGGGCACTACAGCATTCAGAGAATACAGTGGAACGTCTTGGCAAAGCTCATTGGACAGGTCACTTCATCTGTTGTGAATGTCCTGCAGCTCTGCCTATAGCTGAAGGACTGATTCCCTGAGTACCTGCTCGTCCTCCTCCAAGAGCTCATTCACAAATTTCTCACTCCCAAGTTCTGCCCGAAGGCCAGAAATGTGAGCTTGCTATGATTGATTGTGGAGGACAAGCTCGATTAGTGGCAAAGGTTTTAATCAGCAACATGGACTTGATTTATGATGAAACTTTCAGTCCATTTGTAAAAATCATCATTATTCAGGTAGTTCTATCCTTCGCTTTGATGTATGGCAGTCTCTCTTCCCACTCGATGTGAATGCCTTTCTTCATGGAGCGTTAAAAGTTAAGGTACACATAGAGTAGTCCCCAAGTTTCACTGAGGACCCTTTGGAATCGTTTGTAAGTTCAAGAGATCCATATATGGATTTATGTCGCCTTCTCATACTTGGTTTCAAAGCTTTCATCATGCATTAATAGACTATGCGCTCATGGGGACTTTGATGGATCATTGTCTTTTCATTTACATGACCACCAGGGGTATTGTGCTTATCCTCCTGTATGTCGATGACATTATTATTGCAGGAAGTTCTTCTGAACTTATCAGCAACATCATGAGATTCCTTCATGGCAAGTTTCATAAAGATTGGGGACAGTTATGGTACTCTCTGGTGATAGAAATGGATCACATTCAGGATGAGCTATGATTGCTTCAACATATTTATACACCACACTATTATGTTGCATTTCAAACCATCAACCAATTCCGCCAAACTCAACGAAAGATTGAGAGCGCATAAAGGAAATCACACGAAGAACTAGAAAAATACCGATGTATGGCGGGCATAGTTACGTACCTCACCCTCACTTGTCCTTTGAAATCTTCACAGTAAATCAGATGTGTCAGTTTATGCATGCAACCACTGATGCGCACCTGGTAGGGTTATCATGCATAATGATATCTTGGAGGAGCAAGAAGCAAAAGTTCGTCTCACAATTGACTGTGGAGGCCAAGTGTATATCATTGGCAAGCATCGTGCAAAGATTTCTTGGATAAAAAATCTGATTGCATCACGTGATTACAAAGTACAGCAGTCTATCATCCATTGCAATACCCAGAGTTCTCTTGTTGGTGCAGCTAATCCTATTTTTCATGATCTTGCCAAGCACATAATGCACTCCCTCTGGTGTAGAAGATCACTATAATCTCAATTTAACATGTTTTCAATGCTCTTAAAAGCCAAAAAAATACATGGGGAATCACTATGTTGGCTTCCCCATTGAATACTATGGATGCGATGACGGACGTTCTTTCAACTTCCACTATACTATTCATATTCCCATTGGGAATAATGGGATACTTTTTGATTGAATACATACACATTGCCAAGAGTCGTACGTTTATTGCTTTTTAATTATTCTTGGAAAACGTTTCCTTTGTTATTTCCTTTAAATTATGGTACCTGGTGATATTAGATTCTATTGTGCCCGGTATCTAATAGCAGTCTTGCCTGGTATGGGTATAGCAATATTTATCGCTTTATGCTATACTACATCTGGTTTACTGATTATCAATGTGTATCCACTATTGAATGCCTATACCATGCTATACTTATGCTTTCCATGGTGGTCACCTTGCTGATTTTGTTGGTACCATATCAAACTCTGCGGTTTTTATGATAAAATCTTTTCAAGTTCTGAATGAAATCCCCTCATTGCGCCAAAAAGGAGATCAAAACATTGAAGTGAATGCCTAGTTTCATAAAAGGTTCAGGTGCCTTTTAGAAAAAAGTAGTTGGGCTTTTATTCTTAAAACCACATATCCATCGAAACTCAAACTTCAGCTCTCTGAGTCTGTATCATTGCCATGCAAAAGATGTGAGGCACATCTCAATGTCTCACACATGTGAATTGAAAAGGTCCTTCAAATAAAGGACCAACATCCATAAATTCTTAAATGCTCTGACTTCTTCATGCGGCCTTGAATTGAACTTTAGTTGAATGTGGTGAATTGAGGACTGAATGGAATTGCTCAGGTTTTTCCCCAAAATTAGGGCTTCACATGCGTGTTCTGGTGAGCTAGTGGGCACAGCTGGGCATGACATTTTTTTGGCTTTTCAAAACTCTTGCAGCAACTAGATACCATGCCTTAGGGGTTGTATCTATCTTCAAATGCAAAAGGAGTACTTTCAATGCTACCAATGTCTCTCAGTGCAGATTACTGGATTAATTGAATTTCTCTTGTTTATTGATCTTTGACTTTTTTTTTTTTTTGATATTTGGGAAACATTAGTGTCAATGTAAGGGAAGATATTTTGGTAATGTCAACTTCCAAAATTTTTTAGCTTGTGTGCTACAATATTGTGGTAAAATTTCAACCTGGTAGGCAGTTATTGATTCACTTTGTATCCTCATGCTCATGATGCCAAGTTTAATTTTTCTCGTTGTCAACTGTGTTTACTGTTTGTTTCTTAACTTCGTGAAATTTCTTAACTTTCTGTGAAATGTTTCACGTGTTTGCATAAATGGAGGCATTTATTAGGTAACTGGCATGGTGTTTTATGCAGGTTAAAAGCCCTGGTCGCCATCCCAAAAGTCCAACCTAGATTTGCTGTTGCTATTTGGAAGAAATACCCAACGATGAGATCCCTTTTAAATGTGTATCTAGATCCCAATAGAACGGTAGATTCTCTCTCTTTCTCTCTCTCTCTCAACTGGCCCCGGATTGGATGGAGTTGTATCCTCAGTAATCTGTATGATTGACAGGTTCATGAGAAAGAATTTCTGTTGAAAGATTTGATGACCTCAGGCTTGGAGCAGGGGAAGAGAGTGGGTGAGGTTTGTTCGAAAAGGGTCTATAGGATACTCATGGCTCAGAGGGGGAGCATACAAACTGATGATGTCGAGGAGGGAGCAGACTTTTTTGAGATCTGAGCCTCCACTTCTGATAAAAAGCATGTCTGGGGATCTACATGCTGTTTAATTATCATTGGATTAAAAAGAGGAAAACATGAAGCATTCACAATTATTTGTGTTTAACATCGAATAAATAGCAGATGCAGTTTTTGGCTTTTTCCTTTTGTTGTTGTAATATTTGTGTAATACTGTATTGACTCGGTCAAGACATTGTAGAGTTGCTTTGCTTGAGAATATCTTTGGTGGTAAAACAACTAGTTTTGCTAATGGCTCTGAAGAACATCAATAATAAAAAGGTGTGGTTTCTATAAGGTTGCAACCTTAACCTTAATCATTCCAATTAAGGTGCACCTCCAAATTTTATCATAACATGTAATTTTGGTGTAAAATATTCTTAAGATTATGTCAAATTTTATTTTCGTATCTAATTATAAAATTTTAAACTCCAAAAATAGTTAAAATCCAGTAGATCTATAAACATATGAAAATCTTAAAAGTTGATCTAGATAATGTGTTGCAAGATGCCTTATTTTTAAGACATTTTTTTTTTTTTTTCATATTCATCCATCTCGATATTGAAATGATCAATTAGCTGATTTTTCATCATTAAAACAACTTTTTCTGATGGATTTTTGAGATGCATCTTTAATTCTACATTTTAATGTTGTAACTTTATATAAACTTTTTCCATAATAAATAACTTTACCCTTTTCCTTATCTTTCCAAGTCCTGTCTGTCCATATCACTTCTGGGATTTGAATCAATATCTAAGGCAAGTTGTCAAATGATTGAAGGCAATGAAAGCAAAATATTACTTTGGCCTTTTTGTTAACTGGGAAAACAGATGATGTTATTGTATTCTCTGTATTATTATGGCTTTCCTTATTTGGAATTGAGAAAAGCCAAAAAAAAAAAAACAAAAAAAGAACCACTTTCCATATTTCTCCAAAGACCGTGCACATCTACGAACAAGGGGGAAACGCGGCATGCCCCTTCACTCTCTCTTTTAAAACCAAATTATTTCTCTCCTCTCCTGTAGCAAACCCTAGCAAGCACTAGCGTTCATCAAATATAAAAACATAACATTTGTTAAATACAAAAATGTAAAAGGAAAAATAAGATAAAAAAAATCCAATGATTATTTTAATTTAAATTATTAGTGGAAAAATTCACTAAGTTTATGTAGCAGTAATTCTCATTTGAGTTAAGGTATATCCCAAAAGAAATCATGGCATTCTTTTGTAAATATTTAAAATGACAGTTAAAATATTGTAACCCACAAACAATTTTCATATATAAATTTATCAAAAGAGAAACTCCCTCTCTCCCGACGTAGCCCCCTCTTTCTCTCCCTTCATGATTTGGTAATCTCTCTATATCCACAACTTTTCCCTCTCTCTATCTTCTTTGAGATGGAATGTGAATGCTTTCTCCCTATCTCTTCCTAAATGTATATATTCTAATTATATTTTCTCAATTTTATCTTTTTGAATGTGCCCATTGTGCACATGGCCCACCATGGCTTAAATTGGTGGGGCCAACAAAGCCTAGGTGGCACGCCCCAATTTTAGGGGCTTCCTAATTGCATGGGTGGCACGCCCCACTTTTAGGGGTTTTCTTATTTTATAGGGTTGAATTGATAAAGAGTAATAACTTTGGCTTGGAGGCCAAATTATTGTGAGATTTGGAGAAATGTTTTGTCTTGAGGAAGATTTGAATGAATCCTTAGTGTCTTGATAAGACTTATGCATATATTGGATAAAACTCAATATTATGATTAATATTATTTTATTTAATTTCTATTGATGGGAGAATGGTCAAAGGAAAAAGGCAGATAAAGGTTCTAACACCTTCCATAGCATGTTGATAGCTCATCTATTGGAATGGAACGCCCAAATCTCTCACCCTACAAGTCATCTATGATCAATGGTTCATATTCAATCCACAAGAAGAAGCAAGCTATAAAAATCCTAATTGCACTATAAAAAGTGGACCCTTTGCCCATATTTCTCTGCACACCACTATCTCTCTTCTCTCTCTCTCTCTCTCTCTCTCTTTGGTAGCAATAGGGGGCATGCCCCAACCTGAGAAGTCTCTCTCTCTAGATCATACTAAGGGGCACACCCCACCTCTTGGACTATATCTCTTTGATCTTGCTTTGATGAACCTAAGGGTTGGGTAGTAGTAAGTAGATGCTATCTTGTTTAAACTAGGTCTTGTAAGTATGTACCTAAGTTCGAATTTTATGATCAAGAGGAGTTCATAGTTCCATTAGAGGGTTTGCCTTGAAACTTCATTTTCTATTGAGATTGAAGTTTGATCGTTGATCCCGCGCCATCAGATAGTGGTGACTCAGTGTAGGGTCTAATAAGCCCGATTGAGGTAATCTTCAGCATTCTTCTTTTTCATTTCTTGTCTTTTTAATTATATTGTCTTAACATTCCTAAGCATGAGAAATAATGGTTATTTTCTTTGTTTAAAGAAAATTAGTTTAATGGCATCAAAGTTTTACGATCTTGGATTTGTTGGTTTTACTTTTATTTTCTTAAAACAAGAATTATTGTAACAAGACTACTTGTAAGTGATTTTTGCTGAAAGAAAAAGGGGTGAAAAGAATAATAAAAAAATAAGAATACAAATACTGTAGCAAGATCACATTGGTCTATCTTTCATTGATATCAGAACATAGTTACTTATTGCCATTGTGAGTCTTTTCTCTTTATTGAGTCTAGATCTATCTTGAGAATAAAAGATATGGACGCACGTACCTTCATCTCGGAGATCCAAAAATCCGAAATGTTTGATGGGACCAATTATGCCTTTTGGAAAAGAAAGATTGGATATGTCGTTTATATGGAACACTTGCATGAGATGCTCTATGAGTATTGTCCTCATCGTCCAAATAACGACTCATCTCAAGCAATCAAAGATGAGTATGCCACTTGAGAAACTTTTATGCTCTCTCTCTCAACTAGAAAGAAAACCTTAAAGTTGGAGGAGCTCATCGTGACAATCAAAAGAGAAGAAGAAATGAGGAACTCAAACATTGCACCAACATCAACTCCAAGGGAGGCCGTACACTTGGTAAAATTTTCACCATCTTTTAAACCTAAGAAAAGACATGGTAGAAATAATTTTGGAAAGAGAGGAGATAACAAACAGAGATATTTTGAAAACAAAAGAAGAAAAAGAGATACTAGACTTGCTTTATTTGCAAGAAGGTAGGCCACATACCCAAGTATTGTAGGTCCAACAAATTTGGTGGGACAAACAAGGAACTTGTTTGTGTGGTCTTTGAAACTTAACTAGCCGACCCCAAGGAAGCTTTTTGGTGTCTTGACTCGGGAGCTACAGCTCATGTCTTAAACACCAGAGAAAGCTTCCACTCTTTTATTCCCATGGGGTCCGGGGACCAACACATCTATATGGGAGGAAAACAAAAGACCGATGTGCTTGGAGTCGGGGATTTTGAGGTTAAATTGAAATGTGGGAGTGTCTTGAACGTAAAGCAAACACTTTATGCTCTCGTTATGAGGAAGTGTTTGGTTTCGGTTCCTAAGATAACTCTAGTGGGATTCGTGACCACTTTCATTGGAGAGAAGGTAGCAGTCAAGATGGGGGATAATGTTGTTATAATTGGACGTCTTTGGATGATTTATTTACTATTAAAATAAAAGGAAACCTTACTTATGCCTCGTCTCCTAATGATTTAGATATTACCTTATGACATGTGAGGTTAGGACACATTAATTACAAAAGAATGGAAAGATTGAAAAATGATGGTATTATTCAAAATTATAAGGTGATGTATCAAAAGTGTGTAAGTCTTGTGTGCAAGGAAAACTAACAAGGAAAAATATCATTGGGGCAAAAACAACTATTAATGTTTTAGAAATCATTCATAGTGACATATGTGGTCTTATGAATGTGGCGACCAAAAGCCGCAAAAGATATCTCATCACTTTTATAGATGACCACTAGCGAAATGGCCATGTGTATCTTAAGCACACAAAATTCGAAGCTTTAGAAAAGTTTAAAGTATATAAAGCTGTAGTAGAAAATCAAACTGACTTAGAAATTAAAGTCCTTAGAACCGATAGATGAGGGAATATTCATCCAAACATTTCAAAGAATTTTGTGTTGAAAATTGAATCATCTATCAATATACCATGCCTTATACTCTCGAACAAAATGATGTTGTTAAGAGATGGAACATGACATTGGTTAAAATGGTAAGGAGTATAATGGAGGAATGCTATGTTCTCCCAGATTTTTGAAGAAAAGCAGTGTCAGACTCCCATAAAAGACGCCCAACTTACTCCTTACGAAATATTCACCGGTCGTGCTCTCTTTCTTGACGATCTAAAAGTTTGGGGTTGCTCAGTCCATGTCCTAATCCTACACCAAAATAGGACCAAACTTCAACCCAAAACTGTAAAGACCATTTTTATTGGCTACGTAGACTATGATAAGAGGTATCGATTCTACAACCTTGAAACTGGAGTAGTTATTGAGAGTTGTGATGCCCATTTCTTCGAGGAAGAATTCTTTGAAGCAAGATAGAGTCACAAACAAGCCAACCTCTTTGAGGAGGCTAGAAATAAGGATGTGCTTAGAGAACCCGAACCCGAAACTTCAAATAGACTTGAGCCCGAACCCGAACCCTCAATTCAAAATGAGCCTGAACCCTAACCAAGATGAGGTGACTGGATTAGTAGACTACCTTTATAGCTAGAACACTATGTCTACCTAGAGGACCACTATGGTAGAATTGGGGATAATCTAGATTCTGAACCTAAACCTATTATAAAGCTTTGTCTTGTCCTAAAAAAGAGTATTGGATAGAAGCCATGAAGGATGAATATGCTTCTATTAACCAAAACCATGTTTGGGAATTAGTGCCACTACCTCGAAAACGTAAGGCTATAGGATGTAAGTGGATTATCAAGAAGAAGTTTAACTCGGAAGGGAAAATAGAAAAATACAAAGCTAAACTAGTTGCAAAGGGATTCACCCAAAAAGAAGGGATAGATTATGATGAGACCTTTTTTTCAGTTGCTAAATTTTCATCCATCAGAATCTTAATAGCCATAGTAGCTTATTTTGATTTTGAGGTTCATCAGATGGATGCCAAAACAACTTTTCTAAATGAAGATTTAGATGAAGAAATCTACATGAGTCAACCAAGAAGGGAAACCTAGTGTGTAAGCTTAACAAATCTATCTATGGCTTAAAACAAGCATCGCGTCAGTGGTACATAAAATTTCAAGAGATTCTAGCCCTTACGGGGT